CTCACTGCCTGCAGCAGCCGCCAGAACAAGGAAGATGTAAAGTACTGGTAAGCCACGAGCCATGTGGCAGGTATAGATTTATAGAAATGGACTAGTTTAAGCTATAAGAACAGTTAGCAAGAAGCCTGCCACGGCCATACAGTTTGTAAACAAAATAAGTCTCTGTGTTTACTTGGTTGGGTCTGAGCGGCTGTGGGACTGGTGGGTGAGAGAGATTTGTCCTGACTGTGGGCAAGGCAGGAAAACTCTAGCTACAAAAGTGACCAGTTTCTTTCTTGGCTACGAGCTAGACTCAATGTTCTTGAGTCTGTGGGCAGCATAGACAGCCCTTGCCAGGGGCTGGAAGAAGCCTGTCCTAGAAAGCATCCTGAGGATGTGGTAGAAGCTATAAGGCACTGCAACAGCTGGAAGGAACTGGACACATCAGCTCACCTATCCCCCTTCCTCCATTGGTAAAGCCTTATTAATCCAAGGTAGTGCAAGGGGAGCTTACTTCCCGGGACTCCTCTTACTATGTATACAGGAGCTCTCCTCACCCTCTCTTTTTCCATCTGAAGCACCCACCTATAAATCTATAACTTGTTGTTGTTGTTGGAAACAGTGTTTCTCTATGTAGCCCTGGCTGTCCTGGAACTCACTTTGTAGACCAGGCTGGCCTCAAATTTACAGAGATCTACTTGCCTCTGGGATTAAAGGCATGCACCACCACTGCCAGGCTTAATCTCTAACTTCTAAAACTCACCCTTGGTGGTTCCTAAGTTTCATTCTTTGACTTTGTGAGTTAACATTAAAGCCACTGGCTCAGGGCAGTTTTGGTGGTGGGTGGTAGTCAAGTTTCTGAACCTTGGCTCCCCATGAATGATCCATCCTTCTAAAAATACACCAAAATATTCCTGTATCACTTTTTTTGGTGGTGGTGATGGTGAGACAGGGTCTCTACATGGCCCTGGCTGTCCTGGAACTCACTCTGTAGACTAGGCTGTTCTTGAACTCATAGAAGTCCAGCTGCCTCCTGAGTGCTGGACTAAAGGAGTGACTTCGCCTAGCCCTGTATCACTTTTAATTTGTCTAAATTAGGTATTTGGGCACAGCAACATAAAGCTATAAAACAAACTGACTACATGTTCATAAAACAATAGGCATCTATTATTAACAACAACAACAACAACCTTTTCATCACAGGAAAAGCGATCAGCTGCCCATCTTGCCCACACCAAATGGACACACACACACACACACACACACACACACACACAGTTCTTAAAAATCTGTAATAATGCCGGGCGGTGGTGGTGCATGCCTTTAATCCCAGCACTCAGGAGGCAGAGCCAGGCGGATCTTTGTGAGTTCGAGGCCAGCCTGGTCTACAGAGCGAGATCCAGGACAGGCTCCAAAGCTACACAGAGAAACCCTGACTTGAAAAACAAAAATTCATAATAAGATAATCTCTGTTCGCCATGAGTTTTCTCTTCTCACACTTCTCTAATCTGTCCCTGTGTTCCAACTCCAAACTTTTACTCCATTCTACAGCTTACCCAACGAAATATTGCAAGTTTCTGACCTTTCGAAAGTCTCATAATTGCCAGCTTTATTCTCAACGGCTCACCTATCAAAGTTCAAGAGAAAGACAAATTCCCTTTGCTCTTATGCAAGTAATTAATATGGGGGCTCAAAGATGGCTCGGTGAATAAGAGCACTCACTGGCTACTTTTCCAGAGGACCTGGGTACAATTCCCTGTGGTTGATATATTATGCACCCCAATAAACTTACCTGGGGGTCAGAGAAAAGAACAGCCACTGTATTAAACATAGAGGGTAGGCAGTGGTAGCGCATGCCTTTAATCCTAGCATTCCAGAGGCAGAAATCCCTCTGGATCTCTGTGAGTTCAAAGCCACCCTGAAAACAGCCAGGCATGGTAACACATGCCTTTAATCCTAGGAAGTGATGGCAGGAAGCAGAAAGGTACATAAGCCATGAGGAATAGGAACTATAGTCTTTTTAAGCTTTTAGGCTTTTGAGCAGCAGTTCAGCTGAGATCCATTCGGATGAGGACTCAGAGGCCTTCAGTCCCAGGAAACAAGATCAGCTGAGAAGTTGGCAAGGTGAGGTTGGATGTGGCTTGTTCTGCTTCTTTGATCTTTCAGTATTCACTCTAATACCTGGCTCCAGGTTTGTTTTTATTAATAAGACCTTTTAAGATTCATGCTACAATTCCCAGCCCCAGCATGGTGGCTCACAACAGCCTGAAATCCCAGTCCTAGGGCTTCTGAGGGCACATGACACACACTTGGTACAAAGACATACATGTAGACAAAACATCCACACAATAAAATAAATTGTTTAAAAACATAAAAGAAATTGCTAATCATTTTTCTATTTTTTCCTTCAAATTTCCAATCAGTAGGATTTAATATTTCTATTGAAAGAGAAGCAACAGCAAATTAAAATGACTTAGAAAAGTTTAAATGATATGGAGAATTATTTACAAATTACTATGTTTTCAAAAAAGTAACTGAGTCTGAAATAATTCTAACTACATTAATTGAAACTCACCAATATGTATTGAACACATTAAAGATAAAGATGAATAAAATTCTGTTTTCCCTGGTAGGTGCTTATAATGTATTTAGTAGGCAGGGTCAAATGTTACTGTTTGAGTACCAGGACTCTCTAGTCTGTGCCCTACATAATGATTTAACCAAAGAGCTGGCCACACAGTACTGACATATAACAGAGCATTCTGAACAACTGTAATGGAAAACAATGAGATACACAATTGTCCTGCAAGAACTGTAAGGGGATTACTGTAAAAAGTTCAAAGGACTTGGGGGTAACCAACAGCTCTAACCGGATTTAAGGCCTACTCAATTAAAGGGAAATCATATCTCGTACTGGAAACCTAGCCAACTACTCAAGGCTGGTGAAGTCATGGATCTTGGAGGAGAATCGACAGCTAACACTTTCCTAAAGCAGCACAGTTCCTAACTCCATTCTAAATATTTATCCTATAGTCACAGATGAGTGCAGGTCTCACCCTTCAACAATGAAATCTCTCTTTGCAACAGATGGAGAACATTACAGAACCTACAACTGGTCAAAATGCAGAAGACAAATGGGGCTTAGTCCCATCTACAACATAACTCCTGCTCCCAAGTCTCCAGGCACATTGAGAAAGAGGGGACAGAAAAAACATTTAAGAGTCAGAGAATCAGGATGCCTATAGTGAGACTGTGTCTCCTAGTAACATCAGGGAAGCTATACACATGAAGGTTTAACAACATGGCTGCCTAAACAAGACCTGAAGAAGAACAACATCAACAGACACACTGATATGAAAGGAAGAAATCTTACTAGGCCCCAACCCTACACAAAGAACGATAGGAAACTAAGGATTGCTGAGAACAGGAGAAATAGTCTTCCACAGGGAAGAGTTCCCTAATTAGTTATCCAGTACCAAATGGTCAGCCCTGAAAGCATGCATATACAAGTAACATTATATGGACTGTGTGTATATGTGTATTTTTACATATATAAATACAATTATTAGAGAAAAAGAGGCAGAAGCCACGAATTTGACAGAAGGGGAAGAAGGTATACATAGGAGGGTTAGAGGAAAGAAAAAGGAAAACGATGTAATTATACTTTAATTTCCAAAAAACACCCAAAGTTTTTGTTTTTGTTTTGTTTTTTTAAGTTAGATGGAAAAGAGCTTACCCAGTAGGAATGGGAAACAGAATTGGGGAAGAATAGGGAAAAGAGTAGGGTCTGGGAGCAGAGCTCAGTGGATAGGCTACTTACCTAGTATGTATAAGACCCTAGGTGTGATCCCCTGCACCACAAAAAAAAAGTAACAAAGCAGAAGACAAGTAATATTTTCTATCATGGGACAAGTAGTGATTATTTTCAGGCTTTCACACCCAAATGGTCACAATTACAACAACTCAGTTCTACCACTGTCGTAGAGAAGCCACATATATACTCTCTATATAAACTAATGAATATGACTTTTTAACTACACTTGTACCTATTTATTCTCTGTGCATGTGTGCATGTGCCACATCTGTATGTGTCAGAAGACAACTTGGGGGAGTCAGGTCTCTCTCTACCCAGGTGGTCTGAGGGATTAAATTTAGGTCATCAGTGCTTTTACTGGCTGAGCCACCCCCACTGGCCCATGACTTTTTAAATAAAACGTGTTCAAATTGTAAATATGTGACTTGCTACTTAATGTTACTTTGGTGGGATAGTGACTGTTCATGCTTTCTGGGGTTTTAATGAGGATTATGACTATTTCTAAATATTAACCTTTGTCATGAGGACTTTTGTTGCCTGAGTTCTCAAAATATAATAGAGGTCAATCAACATGTCTAGAAAGAAAGCAGATCTGTAAATCTTACGTATCATTGTCCTCCTCTACAAATAACTTTATGCAAGGAAATGATAATCATGACTTTCCTTTTTTTAAATTTAACATTTAGATGTTACAGAAAGGAAAAACTAAGAAAACACACTGTTTTCAGAACATTCTGAATATAGACATTTTCTCTTTCTTCTGTGACAGTTTTCCCTTGGCCTCTGACTTCTGGATACTATTGAAAAGTAAGCATCTACTACTCATCACTGCAGAACCTTTGAAGACCTTACTTTCAACAGAGCCACCTTTACCATCACAAATACATTTCCTCTACAGAGAGAATAATGAGGTCAGGGCTGGTCCATGAGCTCACATCCTTAAGATACAAAGTTCTGAGAATTATTCAACCCATCTTCTCATTTCAAAGATGAAAAACAAATGTGTATTAAAGACCAAGTGTAGCAATGCTACCCTTGGTGGTCAAGTTACCCCGTATGTCAAGACAATATGGAATTAGAATCCTAGTTGCCAGCCTCTTAATCCTGCAGTCTTTAATATACTAGTACTTCTGAGCACCCCCGCCACTCCTGAGATAGAGGACCTTGAACTCCCAATCTTCCTGCCACATGTGCAAGAATTACAGGTGTGTGACACCACACCTGCTTGAAGCATTTCAATGTCCTACATTTGGTAATTTAGACATATGGTTCACTTTCAATAGCATTAGCTCCCAATAAAATGATGTTAGGTATAGGAGAAAGGAAGTTTCATTTATACGTCCCATACAATGGTCCAAGAGAAGTTAATTATAATGGAGAGGGTTGCTGGAGAATTCAGGAGAGATTCTTCATGCTAGGAGGATTCTGTAACACTCCAAGCTCCTTACTTAGACCCTGTGTGGTGATCTGAGTAAGAATGACAGCCACAGGCTCATAGAGTTGAAATGCTTAGGCATCAAGGAGTGGAACTTCAATAGGACTAGAAGGATTAGGAGGTGTGGCCTTGTTGGAGGAAGTGGGTCACTAGGGGTGGGCTTTGAGGTTTCAAAAGCTCATGCCAGGCCCAGGCTCTCTTTCTCTGCCTGCAGATGAGCTATTTCTCCAGCACCACGCCTGCCTGCTGCCATGTCCATGATAATGGCCTAAGCCTCTGAAACGATAAGTAATCCCTCAATTAAATGCTTTCTTTTGTAAGTGTTTGCCTTGGTCATGGTGTCTCTTCACAGCAATGGAACAGTGACTAAGACACCTTGCTTTCATTATACCTGAAAAAAGTAGGACTTACCTACTTAAAGATGCATAATGCTAAATGTTAAAGACATGTAGCAGCTCACAAGTACCACAGTGAATACAAAGCATAGCCTTATCCTGAAAATCAGTGTAGCTTTAAATCCCTGAGCCACTGGGCACGGGGTGTGATGGAGCGTGAGTCAGGCCGGGCGGAGAGTGCTGAAGACGAGCAGGGCGCAGCCAGCTCTGCAGTGCGCAGCCTGGGGTGGTTTTCTCAGTCACTGTCTGTCTGCCCGGCTGTCTCAAGTGACATCTCCTACCGACTGTGACCACCCGGCTTTCTTTCCGGAGGGAAATCCAATTAGAGAACCACCTGATTTCAATAGCAGCGGTGTCTACTTCACACCTGCAGTTCACATAGCAACCGTACTCACATATGCCTTGTGACCACTCAGAGAAAGACTAGAGAGGGATTTAACAGTTTAATTAGATTTCCTGTTATTGAACTCATGATACAAACCCCAGAAGAGTAATTTGCAAGGTGTGAGACATGAAGTATGGAAGGCTGAACGGAGGGGAAACATTAATAGAACTGTTTAATTAAAATACAGAAACACTACCTTGAATCAAAGTAGTAATACGGTTATGCTGACCATAATTTCAGATATAAGAAATTTAGAACTTGGCCAAAAAGTATCCAAGGAGCGTGCACTTAAGAACAAAAGTTTATGGTCTATTACTAACAACATAAGATATATTTGTGTACTTTTATGAGCAATGTGTCAGATCCTCTTTAATCACTTGCTATTTATTAATTCATTTACTCCTCACAGCAATTCTCATTATATATGTGGAAACTGAAATACAAAGTCACAACGACCAGCCATCGTTTCAAATACAGTTAGTTTGGCTCTAAACCCAGGGTGTGCCCAGTATATGCTCTGCCATTGTCCTATATACCCCCAGATCCTGACTTTAGACTTTTAATCATAGGTAATGTAATACTAAATGAGGAAGCAAAACTACTATTCTAGAAAATATTTACAGTGCTTTCAGATTTCTACATCAAATGTATTAGATAACATGACTTTTTCACATATAATACCTTATACTAATAATGTACTTAAGCTGTATCTATTATCTGTCTTCCAATATATAGCAAATATAGATGGAAATCCAAATGGCCCAGCTAGAACTTAAATATCTCCTCCTGTATCAAACTTATGGGATTTCCTAACATGGTGTCTAGCTATTTCCTTTAAATTCAACTGTTCTAGCCTGCAGGGGAAAAGAGGTTCAGGAAGCTAAGGAAACTTGGTAAGCTCAGAAAGTTGTAAGACTCATGGCCTCTCGTGGGGTTATGGAAGCACTCAACAGTTACTGGGGAGAGGAGACTCTCCAGTGGAGCTGCCTACAAGCCAGGCAGGAAGCACCAGGAACATTGCTTTTGGGAGTCATCACCCAGGATGGGGTGGGCCTTCCTGTGATAAAGCTACCTTGGAGCATCCATCAAATAACTCACTGCTAAGGTAGACTCAGGTGGAATAGCTTCTTTGATCTGCTGTTGGTGCCTTATCTGGGGGAATAGTCATTGGCTGACATTTTACCCAGGAAAAGTCACATGACACATGCATTGTCAAATACACTGCATTTGGTACAAATACATAGTAATGCAATTAAGTATAAGAGACACAGACTGCAAGGATGCCAGATGCAGGGAGGGAGGTGTGGGTCAGAGACAAACATTACCAATTACCTACAACACTTCAGGTAAACACCTGACATTCCCATTTCACACGTACTATTTTTAATTTTATTTTATGTGAATTGCCTCTGTGTGTGTGTGTGTGTGTGTGTGTGTGTGTGTGTGTGTGTGTGTGTGTCTGAACACTACATGCACGAGTTACTGACAGCTGTATGCTGCCATGTGGGTGTTGGGAATTGAAGCCGGGTTCTCTGGAAGAGCAGTCAGTATTCCTAGCTACTAAGCCACTTCTCCAGCCCATTACAAAACATTAAAGTCACTATGAAATTAAACAAATAATTTCAAAATGTATATAGATTGCTCTGGTCCTAATGCCTCCTTTTCAGTACAATATATTGGCTTAAGAGCAGAAAATTATTTTTAAAAAGAATTTTAAAATTTTATTTACAGCAAAATTATCATAAAATAATATGTATTATTGCTTTTCCCAAAGATTCTACATATTATTATGCTATATCAATGTAATGTACTGTTGAAATTATGTTCAGTATTAGACTTGTCACATCTACTAATGCAGCAAATGTAGACATTTAAGCTTAGAGGAAAGCTTAGAGTAAGGATGATAACAACTCCCTTCAAGTAATTAAAAGGCTATCAGGTAGAACAATAGGCATTAGATTTTAGGTCAAAAGAAGAAAGAACTTTAGTGTGAAATGTCAAAACTGGAGTAGACCACCTCATGATATATGATACAGTTAGAGTTTAAGTAACTAAATGTTAGGGATTTTTGCAGGAAGATTCAGAAACAAGCAAAGTGTGAGCAAGTGATCTTATTCTCTGTCTCTATTTCAAGTTTGGTCTTTTCATATCCTTTTAGAAAATGTTTTCTTCACATTAGTTATTGTGTGTGTGCAAGTGTCAAGGATCAAACTCTGGCTTGGTGATGAGTGACTGACCAGCTAAGTATCTGTCCAAATTTTAAATTCTTAGATGGGCTTCACGGTTAAGAACACAAAATCTTATCTTGATTTAGAAAGAAAGGAAGTTAACTCACTCATACCATTTTTTTCTGCAAAGGCAATTGCATCTTCTTTGGTACTAAAGGTTAGAACCACGTTGGAGAGGGGATCAGCCCTAGAAGAGAGAATGCCCATGATTTAACATTAAGATTTAGCTGTAAGACAATGAACATACAATGTTGATTTTAAATACATTCATTTTAAATACAATGTTTAAATACAATGATTAGAAAATAAACAGTTGGTATAATATCAAAAAATTATGACAGTATTTTATTTGTAATCTTTGAAAAACAATACTTTATTTCTGTGTTAAATCTGACTTTTCTAGTATGCATTATGTAATAATAAAATCATAATTACAGTAACATTCCAGTTCTCTTTACTGAGGTTTATTAAGCTCTATTTAAAAGGACAAAGTAAAGTTTTAGATTAAAAGGCCCGGAAGATTCCCAAACTGACCCGAGAAACTTCAGTATCCAGCAGTTAGTGCCGAGTAGAACTGCCAGTGCAGACGGCCACCCGTGTATGATCGGTTCACTTAAGTTTCCACAATATGACGAGGACAGCAATATGCAGTAACAGAGAATGTTTTTCTTTTAAAAATATTTTAGTGTGTATGCGTGTGTGTATGTGTATATACCAATGCCATAGTACACATGTAGAGGTCACAGGACAACTTGCAGGAGTTGATTTTACCCACTGAGCCAGCCCATTGGTCCAAGAAAATATTTTTCAAATGTTCCCCTGAATGATGAGCAACAGCAATGAAACATTAACCATGTTGGAGCACAGTGGTAAACAACTGCGTCACTAAACTACCATATTCAGTAGGTTAGTAGGAAACATCTTCAACTTACCACGTTCTCTAAAATGAGTTTGCTGGGACATTAATCTCACTGTAATTAGAAGCATCCATATACTATGAATTCTTTAAAATAAAAACAAAAAACTGAACCTACTCTCAACAAACCTTTCATCACCAATAATGTTAAGGAAATGTCTATGTAAAACAAAAACAAACATTCTAAGGCCTGACAACCCTTATTTTTATGTTTATAAAAGTATAACCATGTTTGCTACAAATGTTTAAAGTAAATCTCTTAGGGATGAATATAACATTCTGTGGAAACCTGTTCAGAACTATGGAAGTAGGCAGGGGCTAGGGACATAGCTTAGCTGGTAAAGTCCTTGCCTAGATGCAAGAAGCCCTAGGTTAGTGCCCAGAACTGCATACCACTAGATGTGGAGGCATACTCCTGGAATTTCAACACTCTGGGATGGAGAATCAGAAATGGAAGATCATGCCTCACTACATAGAGAACTGAAGACTGCCCTGCACTACACACCACCCAATCTGGAGAAGAAAAAGAAGAAGAAATCCTCTGGGGGCCTTGGCCATGGGAAAGCTAGGAGCTAAGCAGAGCCCTGAAGTAGCTCTCCTGCTCTTCAGTCCCACAGACTGCTGATGAAGGTCTGGCACACCAATCCTGGCTTTGCTGGGATTCCTTAGGATCCCTATAATCATGGACTCCTATAATAAATTCCCCTTGTAAGAAAAAAAGACCCTTCTACTGACCGTCTATATTCGTACCAAAAATTAATGATAATTTTGTATTGATGCTTCTTTTCAAGACACATATAGTTTCTCAGTTGATAGTTAAA